CCCTTACATTCTCTGTTCTTTCCCCAACCTATTTTTTTCCTTTGATTTTCTCTGTTTTCACATCTATTTTCCTCTTTTTGTCCGGGAAGTTTATCAATAGATATCAATCTTTTTACTATAGAGTTTTAACTTAGTAAATTTCCTTTCATGTTGCATAATTAGTGTAATTAGTGTTGGAATTGAAATTGTCAATCAATAAATTTTGAAGGTGTTTGACTCTCCACCATTGATAGCCATTAAAAAGCTTCGAAACTTTGAATTCGATTTGGATTTTCAAACAATATTTTTTGTTTGGAGTGGGTGTTGTTGCAAATAATTAAAAATATTCTTTGGAGTTTATATCTCAATTTTGAGGATGCTTGATGAAAATTAGAGTTGATTTTAACTGAATTTCAAATTGAAACTCGCCGAAGAAGAAGAAGACGACATGACATGACATTCAATATAAATACAAAATTATATTAAAATTGTAGGTAAATTTTATTTAAGTTGTATTCTGTTGTAATTATATATTGTTTATTTGAATATTGTATGAAGGTTAAAAAATAGTTGTATATTGTATGAATTGTTGTATACAATTTGTATTTAAGTTATAAATACTATCTTTTTACATAAAATTGTTGATATGTATCAAAATTGTATTAAGAGAGGAAGTTTTGATTGGAATTTCATAGAGGAAGAAGAACACACCACATACAAAATATATACAAATTAATCATATACGAAATACATGCAAATGACATATTTGTATAAAATTTGTATGAAAATTGTATTTAAATTGTATGATGTTGTAGTTGTATTTAACTGGGTAAAAATGATGTACGAAAGTCTTATATAAATGAGTTGTATACTATATAATTAGTTGTATAAAATTTATTTTTATTTAATATGTTGTTGTAGAAGTAACAAATTTGTATCAAATTTTTACAAAATTTATTTTTAATTTGTAGGTACTAATTTAAGGTACTAAATCCCCTAATTTAAGGTACTAATAATAAATTGTAAGAAAAATACAGTTATATAGGAAATATACAAATATAGGACAACTATGATAAATAAGTTTCAAATATTATATTGGAACGAAAAAATTCCTAAGACAAAATGAGTAGTCCTCGATTAAGGACGAACGGAGCAATTAATAATGTTCAATCTACTCTCACGATAATATAAGTCAATCAATTGCTGCCAAACTACAAATCCAACTTTTAAAATTACTAATTAGAAATAAGAGAAAAGTTCGAGGGAAGTATTTTAACATTCCAAAGGAAGTTTGGGATACTTTCTCGAGTCAGATAGAAAACCAAATTTATTTGCAACTGCAAGTTTATAAGCTTAAAAAATCTTGTTGACGAGTGAAGATTGTTCAGATATAAAGAATTCCACTTCCAACTAGTAAATCAAGAGACGAGTAACATTAAATTAAATAATTAGAGAAACAGTGTTGATTTTTCAGATATTGTAAAAAATATTTTAAAAGAATGAATAGAAAGTCATAAACCTTACTCCCTCCGGTCCAAAATAAGTGATTTTTTTTGGTGTTTTCACACAGATTAAGAAATTCACCTTTTAGCATTAATTAACAATGGAATTGACCATATTAACCTTTACTATCTCACATAAACACTCCTAACATATATTCCAACACTATTTACTCCATGGACAATGTTGGAAAAAAATAATTAATTCATTCTTGAAATCTGGAAAAATCACTTATTTTGGACCACAAGAAAAAGACCAAAAAATCACTTATTTTGAACCGGAGGGAGTAGTATTTATTTGGGGAGCCACCCCTATTACTAGTAGGAGTATATTTTTACTTTTGACTTGGGAAAAGTAAGTCACTGAAAAAGCTCAATCATAGCATAATTCTCCTAAACCTAAAAGAAAAAGGTAAAATATACTATTACTCGATTACGTTTTCTGCATAATTATTCTCTCTGTGTTATTATTATTATACATATATATCCTAGCTATAGCCTGTACACAACTCCTCCACCGCCATTCCTTAACGCAACTTCCAACTTCCCCATCACTCCCTTTCTTTTTTATATACAAAACTTCTCTTTAGTCCTTTACTCACTCACTCAACTCTTATTCACTTTTCCCGTTTCCTTCTTCCTCAGTGTAATTTCTCCTGAATTTGCTCACCAACAACAAGAACAAGTTATGGCTATTGAAGCTTTGAAATCACCAACAACAGAACCAACTCCTACTACACCACCCATCTATGAACAAGTCAATTTGGATTCTAGTACCAAGGGAAAACGTTCGAAACGTCCTCGCAATGAAATCCAACCAACTGAAGAGGAGTTTCTTGCCCTCTGTCTTATCATGCTTGCTAGATCAGGCGGCGGCCGCACAAATTCTACTCATCATGATACTACTACTACTGCTGCTGCTGCTGTTCAACAACAGAAGAAACAAATTACCTACGACCCACTACCACGACAAGATCAAGAAGCATTAATAGAGCAACATTCTTACAAGTGTAGCGTATGTAACAAGTCTTTTGCTTCTTATCAAGCACTTGGTGGGCATAAAGCAAGCCACCGTAATAAACACTCCACTACTACTGCCGCCACCGTTTCAGATGATAATTCTACATCAACTTCTTTAAACCCTAGTGCTCGTTCTCACGAGTGCTCTATATGCCACAAGTATTTTCCTACTGGTCAAGCTTTGGGTGGCCATAAACGCCGCCACTACGAAGGCAAGATTATTGGTGGTGGTGGGGGTAGCCGTGAAGCCGGTGGTAGCCACACCGTGATATCGTCGGAAGCCGGTGGTAGCCACACCGTGATATCGGCGGAAGCCGGTGGTAGCCACACCCTGATATCGTCGGAAGCCGGTGGTAGCCACACCCTGATATCGTCGGAAGCCGGTGGTAGCCACACCCTGATATCGTGGGAAGCCGGCGGCTCAGCCCGGACAGTGAGAGACTTTGACCTGAATCTGCCGCCGCCGCCAGAATTTTCTTTGGGACTGACCGTTGACTGCGAAGGGAAAAGTCAACTTTCCAGCGAGCAAGAAGTAGAAAGCCCTATGCCTACTAAGAAACCGCGTTTATTTTTTTCGGATTGATGAGAATTAGTTAAATTGTTTGAAAAAAATAGTAAATTGATTTACTGTGATCCTTTTTTTTTTTTTTTAGAGAAAAAGAAACTATAGTTTTACCTACTTGATTTAGGACAGTGTTTGTTAGAGAGAGTAGGCCATTCTTATTGAACTTCGTTATTGGTTATTCATTTGTTCAGTTAGATCATTGACACTTGAATACAGAATTACTGGAATAAATTTATTGCTCTACTACTGGCCTTTGTTTGTTAGTTGAATGTTTTGACTAGAAAAGAGTACGATTTATGGTATTAATTATTTTTATTGGTTTCTAAATATGTGTATCTGTATTTACCAAAACACATAAAATTGCTATTTGAATTGAATTTAACGTTCATACACTTATAGCATAAGACTTTTTACACTCTATATGTCTCTTGACTTCTGTAGCAAGTGACTTATATTATTTTCTAATTTATTACCTTCACTCTTTTATGACCGATTGTTATGCAATAAGTTTTTTAAGTCTATTACAAAATTAAATTTGTTTTATATTGTTAGTGTTTTTATAAGCTAAAGCGAATTTGAAATTATGTCCCTTTTGAGACTAAAAAATTACTAATTGAAATTATTCCAAGCTTATATGTTTCGTAAGGTCCAATTGAGAGACGGTGGACGTGAAGGGTGGCGGTGCATGCAATTGCACGATGTAAAAGTGCTGGGTATGGTTGCCTCATGTGTGGAGTTTTTGTCCAAATCCACGTTCTATATCCATTTATTATCGTTAGCAATATGTAACAAACTGGGGGGCTTGCCCCTCTCATGTTTTGTTTAATCACATGTTTTTCTAGCCAAAAATATGAGAAAGAAAAACAATTATTCCTTTTAATTAACATTTTCGTAAGGAGCCATATATATATATATATATATGTATTTGGGGGTTTATCCATTTCAGTTACAAGACCAACGTTCTTATATGAAAAGTGTTGTATATTAATTATTTCCCAAATTATTGTATATACGTGCAGTGTATCAGCATTTACTGTGGCCAAACTATTGTCTGTTCAAGTCATGTTAGTTGAATAGTTTTTATTCGAAAGTATATATAAATCAAGAGAGCTGCTATTCGGCCAAACTAAGTGTGGCCCAAAAATGACCACACCGGTGAAATACCACTAAAGCCCTTCATTTCACATTTGGCTTAATGGTCATTTTTCCCTCCAAAATATTTTCCTCCAAAATTAGTTAATAAATATTGATTATCCCAAAACATTGGTCCCATAAATATCATTCTCTCATGGGAAGATCAACCAACTTCATATGTATACCTATGCTATTACGTATTTATTTTATTTTTAAATAAAATTTATACGGATAGGAAGATCAAAAGCCTTCATATATGTATACCTATACTATTACGTATTTTTTTTAAATACAATTTATACGATGGGAAGATCAAAAGTCTAGTATCTATACATAATATTATTTTTTATACGGTTTACAAACTTATACCATACACTTATGTTAAGAAAGCCTTCATTAAACGCATATATCACCACCCTTCCCCCTAACCTAAACATGAATGCTAACCTAGAAACTAGTTTGGAGCCATTAAATATGGAAAATAAAACATACATTAAAGAATAATGTTTGTAACATATTTTTACGAATATTCAAAGAATAATGCATATTCTTTGAACAGAAAGCTAAAAAAAGATACATAAAAAATTTTACGAATATTTTTAAGATACAAAAATACATTGAAGAATACTTGGACAATATTTTTACAAATATTCAAAGAATAATGCATATTCTTTGAAGAAAAAACTAAAAAAAGATACAAAAATGATATAGCACGTTGATGAGGTAGTTGTCAAATAGCCGTTTATAATAAGCTCATTCGTATCGACATATAGCTACCATATAAGTCCATTGACTAATATGGTTGTAGTCATATAACCTATGCTAATTATATCGTTGTGATTCATAGTAATATCGACTGCTTGTATAATAGCCGGTTATATTAATTTCATTCATTAAGGTCATTCGTATCGGCCTATAGAAACCATATAAGTCCATTGACTAATATGGTTGTAGTCATATAACCTATGCTAATTATATCGTTGTGATTCATAGTAATATCGGTCGCTTGTATAATAGTCGTCTATTTAATTTCATTCATTAAGGTCATACGTATCGGCCTATAGCAACCATATAAGTCCATTGACTAATATGGTTGTAGTCATATAACCTATACTAATTATATAATTGTGATTCATAATAATATCGACCGTTTATATAATAGGCGGTTATATTAATTTCAATCATTATGGTCATACGTATCGGCCTATAGCAACCATATAAGTCCACTGACTAATATGGTTGAAGTCATATAACCTATGATAATTATATCGTTGTGATTCTTAGTAATATCTACCGTTTATATAATAGCCGTCTATCTTAATTTCATACATATCGGCCTATAGCAACCATATAAGTCCATTCACTAATATGGTTGTAGTCATAAACCTATGATAATTATATCGTTGGGATTTTTAGTAATATCGACCGTTTATAATAATAGTTGTTTATATTAATTTCATACATATCGTCCTATAGCAATCATATAAGTTCATTCACTAATATGGTTGTAGTCATATAACCTATGCTAATTATATCGTTGTGATTCTTAATAATATCGACCGTTTATATAATAGTCGTTTACATTAATTTCATACATATCGGCATATAGCAACCATGTAAGTCCATTCACTAATATGGTTATAGTCATATAACCTATGGTAATTATATCGTTTTGATTCTTAGTAATATCGGCCGTTTATATAATAGTCGTTTATATAAGTTAATTCATTATGGTCATACGTATCAGGCTTATAGCAACCATATAAGTCCATTGACTAATATGGTTGAAGTCATATAACCAAAGGTAATTATATCGTTGTGATTCTTGATAATATCGACCGTTTATATAATAGCCGTTTATATTAATTTCATACATATCGGCCTATAACAACCATATAAGTCCATTCACTAATGTGGTTGTAGTCATATAACCTATGCTAATTATATCGTTGTGATTCTTAGTAATATCGACCGTTTATATAATAGCCATACATATTAATTTCATATATATCGGCCTATAGCAACCATATAAGTCCATTCACTAATATGGTTGTAGTCATATAACCTATGCTAATTATATCGTTGTGATTCTTAGTAATATCGATTGTTTATATAATTGCCGTTTATATTAATTTCATACATATCGGCATATAGCAATCATATAAGTTCCATTCACTAATATAGTTGTAGTCATATAACCTATGCTAATTATATCGTTGTGATTCTTAGTAATATCGACCGTTTATGTAATAATCGTTTATATTAATTTCATACATATCTGCCTATAACAACCATATAAGTCTATTCACTAGTATGACCTTGTTTATATAATAGCAAATATATAATTCGACATATTTTTATTGGTTAATCTTAATTGTAATAATCTTCACCAAATATCTTAATTATAATAAAAGGAAAATCATGATTAAATTTTAGAACTAAAATACATTCTAACTTCTTTATTAGGAGGAAAAACAAGATGACATTTTTGGACTAAAATGTCAAATACAATTTTCGGAGGGAAACAAAGGGAAAGTAAAAATGATTGGAGGGAAATAGAAAGTTTTGAGTCTTTATATATCTCTTAAACACAAGAACAACATTTCCAACTCTTTAAACAAAATAGATACTCAAAACATGAATGCTAGAGGATGGATTGAAGATGAATTCTATCCATGGTTTCGGATGGACGTGCCCATTTCGTACATCAAACGTGATTATGTGGTAATTTATTTATAATATTTTCATGATTTGATAACTGTTGATTATCCCAACTAGCAATGAAGCATGAACCTTATCTTTACATTATGTTCTTGCAGTTTCTTCCAAAGAGTATCTTTGGCTATCTTCCTCCTATTTCGGTTAAAATAATGCTTCGATATAATGGGAAGGAATGGGCTGTGACTTCCACAAGTGGTGTTCGGAAAAGACTCGTTAATGGTGGAAATAATTTATTGTCGACAATAATCTGAAGAAAGGGAGTGTTCTTCTCTTGGAACTAGTTAAGGCTACATCAGGGGCTGTGATCTTCTCTGTTGAAGTGCTAGGATAAACCAATGTTTAGCTTGATAATTTCTTCTCTTTAGTTATATTTACTAACTTCAAGTGGATCAAAGTAATGGATTAATATGATTGTTCTTTATAATATTATTTGTGTTTTTTCCATTTATTATTGTTATATTTATTTATTTTAAGAAGACTTGGTTTAAAAATAGCCAATTAAAATTGAGAAATCATTTAACAATATATTTAGTGCAGAAGTCCCCTATTCTTTTCTATCATTTTACAACCAAGAACAAAACTAGGAAGATTATTTTTTTTTAAAAGTTTAAAAATCGACATTACTTTGCTCATAGAGAAGTGAAAAAATCAACACGAAAAATCAAAAATTGTATTTACTACTACAAAATTTTGGAGATCGATCCGTTATTAATTAGAATTCAACCACCAAGATGAAGGTTAAGACTATGAGATAAAACCTATAAAGTGCACTCTCACTATATGGTAGAAGTGTAAAAAAAATTTTTTTAAAAATCCAAAATATGTAAAGTGCACTGCCACTATATGGCAGAAGTTAAAAAAATCCAAAATCTGTATAGGCGGATGGATAAAGACAAGCTTCTATAATTAATTGTAGTCATGGGGGAGAATAATGGTTGCATGGAGGAGTGTAATGGTGCATAGAGGAGTGAAATTGACTACTCGGAAGTGTAATGGTTGCATGAAGGAGTGGAAGGGACTACTGGGAAGTGTAATAGATGCATGGAGGAGTGGAAGGGGCTGCTAGGATGTGTAATGTCCGCATGGAGGAGCGGATATGGCTACTGGGAAGTGTAATGGTTGCATAGGGACTCTACAAAGAGACTTTAAGTCCTACTGGGAAGTGGACCAGCTTATAAGCTTAGCCAAACACCCTCTTAGTCACCAAGCTTTTTCACTGCTAAAATATAACTAATTTTAGACAAATAATAATTTTCACTAGTTGCCTACAATACTAGAGATGAAACTAGTTTGTCACCAGTAACTTTAGATATTGTGACTAATGTTACTAAATAACTAGCGACAATCCATTTTTTTGGTGGAAAACTTGAGTAGATAAAACTATCGCTA